ACCACCATGGAAAACCTGGAAGTACTGGGCGGCCGTTTCGTGGATGCGCACTGTTGAGGAGTCCCATACTAGGACGAAACGACCGTCCAGTGCTTCCAGGTTTTCCATGGTGGTCTAGCTTTAATTGACTCTCGATTTCAACCAGTGAAATTTCTAAAATCTCCACACAACCCCTTCTGATAATAATAATCAATTTTAGTAAATAAATGGATAAAATTAATAATGTTTATATAATTAGTGATTTAAGAGTAAAAATATTAATCTCCAATTTTCCTTTTACCTGTCTATATTAAAATTACTTTTTTGTAAAAAATAAACCATAAATCAATTAAGGATTTACTTAAATTCTTTTGGAAATTCCAATCAAAATAAACATCAATAATTATTATAAGCAAAGATGGATAGTGGCTAGCAGTGGAATCCAGGACGCGCGTTTCGTCCTATTTGGGACTTGTCAGATACATGTACCTGCATCTCAGAGACTGAACAATTTCAGTCCTAAACATCAATGGGAAGATTTAAATAAAACAATATCAAGTGAATCAATAATTATGTTAGTAGTATGTTAGAAAAATAAATAAAATGACTTAAGCATTATCATTAAACAAATATTGTCATATTAAAAAGTATAGATTGTTTTATCAAAACTCATATCATAAATATTTGATGAATAACTTAGAGTTCCGATATACAAATTGTTCATGATTAAGTAATAAATGAATAAAAACCTCATTATGGAATTCACTTTATTCATGTAAGAAATTTCAAGTTTATACTATTGATTAATTTAATGTACCAAAATGCTTTGGGGTACGTTTAAGGGTAGGGAGAGTGCGCTCTTCTTTTTTAAAATGCTCTCACATGGACAACAAACATTTTTTTGATGTTTATTTGAACAAAATTTCACTTATTCTATTGAAACGATAGAAATACGCATTGAAGCATTAGTTAACACAGTACATATGAGATGAGAATCATAATGATTTACTCAAAAGTGTTACTTTTAAAGCAGACTGTCTTTTTTATCACTAATTCAATCAAATAAATCAATCAACTTGTAGTAAGTAATCTTTGCCACGATTTAAGTTTGTTTATTCAGTGACAAAATATATATTATTTGTCATACAATTATACAAAATAGAGATAAATTAAGCTGCTAGTATATTTTTCCCTAAAAAGGAACTAAATGTGTGACTACATTTAGTAACAAATAATAATATCAATTAATTACAGGGAAGAGAATCAGTCCCTCTAAAAGTGAATATTTGCTATGTTAAATTATATCAACTAGGTTAATGCCTACACTTGAAGCTTCAAAAATTTATAATCGGTTAATATACTACAAAGCTTGGAATATTTGAATTTAACCAAATAAATAACAGTAAACAGGTATCATCTGCGATAATCGTGAGTCAACTCAAGTTTGAAGTGCGAAACAGTGAATTTTAACTCATTGATTTACATGTGTCGTTGTAGTGGCTTTGCTTCGTTAATCCATCGCCCTTGTAACCGTTATTACATAAACCTCAACGGTGTTTAAAATCAGAAGTCAATGAGAAGCGGCAACTACAGTTTATTAGCGGATAGCGTAGATCATAAAGCTATAGCACATCGAGTGAATATGTATGCGATCAAACACAGAGACAAGTTTATAGTCAGATTGCATAAGGGCACAGCAAAGGCTAATAATAGGATTTCAGTACATACATACATGGGGGAGGATGGATCACCGAGTGATATTTAAGCATTCAACATTTTAGCTAGTGATCATAATGGTACAAAGAAATGGCGAATTGTTAGTATTCTAATGACATTTCCTGTCAAGTTAGTAAAAGGGTTTGACCAAGACTAATCATGATCGAAATAGGTCGTAGGATAGTTGCTATATTATGATTACAGTAAGAATTGAAGATTTTAATTTCGTGTATTTATCAGGAAAACGAAGTTCTGTGAAATCTTAGATTACCACGAAACAATTATTCACTATGCTTTATTCTGTAATAGTCTATGAGCAGAACATTTATTTTATCTAAAGGAAGTTAGGTTATCCTGATTAGAAAACAAAAAATCCTGCTTCATGAATCGCCTTACAATGACATTTACTTCATGACTAAAGTTATATGAAATACTTCCAAACCGTTCACCAACACTTTCTTCTTGATAGGCATTCTCTCATCAATAATTATTTTAAAAAGATTATAAAGGTATAATCATTATTAATTCGGTTCATTTTCTAAACTAAAAATTTATTGATGTACCACACCTGTTTTTCACAATATTCATTAAGTATTGAACTTGATTTTGGAGAAAAAAAAGCCAAAATTGGGCTCTATAGAACCAGGAAAAGTGTAGCATTGTATATAATCAGAAGGGGGTGTTGTCGAGATTTTGGTAATTTTATAGTTGAATTCATGCATCAATTGAAGCTAGATCACCATGGAAAACCCGGAAGCACTGGAGGGCTGTTTAGTCCTAGTATGGTTGACGTTAGACATTAACACCGTTGGATTCCGGCTCAGTGGTCTAGAGGTTAAGCGGCCGCACGCAAGACTGACAGGTCCTGGGTTCAAATCCCACGGGGATACGCACTGCTGAGGAGTCTCATATTAGAACGAAATGGCCATCCAGTGCTTCCAGGTTTTCCATAGTGGTCTAGCTTCAATTAACTCATGAATTCAACTGTTTTATATATATATATATATATATATATATATATATATATATATATATATATATATATATATGCATCAATTCACCTTGACCTTCAACAGTGAAATAAAACCGACTTTATAATTAAAAGGACTAAGTTAAGGTTATCAAAATCAATTGACTTATAGAATAAAATGATAATACTGATATGAAATAGAAAAGGATTAATTTCAGCTCCTTAAACTTAAAGTAGTTTAAAAATTTAAACATAGTGGTCAAACAATTTAAACGTTTCAGGTGTCCAATGGAAAATAAATATGAGATGGTTTACACTATAGACTGCTGGACTAATTTGAAATTATTATCTCATCAAATTATGATGAATAATAATGATCGTTTGAAATACATCTTGAGAATAAAGTGAAACAGTGAAATTACTTAAAAAGTAACTGATGAAACATGTTCTGAGTTAATGAAACCTATTTATTAAGAAAGCTCAAATTGATGTGCCTACACACTGATCATAAACCAGAGCGTTTCTGAAATCATTTCAGAGTTCAAAATATTTACCACTATCAATCTGCTTAATTTACTTTTGAAACATTTTGAGTTTCAATCCATTCAGAAAGTAACAGAAGAAAAATAGTGAAACATTTCCTTAGATCTCATTTACCTAACGCGAACCTATAACCTTGATTTTCAGAGCTATTAAAACTCTACCGCTGTCCAAGCTTAAGTAAATGAAGCGTACAGTGAACTTATGACTTCATAGTTGAAAGCCACCGCTTTACATAGAAAGATATCGTAGTTCGTATGATTTCCTTATATACAAAGAAAACTGATCGTCTATGAAAAATTACAGTTATCTGTTGACAATGTAGTGCCTATTATCTCAGAAGATACCTGCCAGGTTAATAATTGTATGGAAACATCACTTAGCTAGATCAAGTTTTTTATGTCTTCAGTAGGACTACATCTTACAGTCAAAATTATTAATCAGTTGGACATGAAGTTATTGGGAAACCAGAGGCGGAGGAAACATATTTCCGCAACTTCACATCTGTATTTTTTCAGCAATTCATACCCATAGCTTGCGCCTGACAGCTGCTATTTTGCCCAAACACTATTAAAAATATTCACATGAAAAAACTATTAATATGATTTTTGAGTGGGATCGTATAGAAAATGAACTTACATTCATTTATTTAAGTTATCACATGATATCATCGAGTGTATTTATATGATCTTAATACGGGTATTGCAGCGAAACGCACGAATTGACAAAAAACACACTGTTGTCCCGTGTTAACTAATCTGTGCTAAAGGAACATCAGAAGAGCAACTGACCTTTATAAAATTATTACTTATTAACACTTTATCATTTAAACCGATTGACCCAACACCACCACGACGTAATAGCATAAAATTGAAATCTAATACGGAAAAGTTCCTGCCTTATCTATCAGCAACGAGAAATACAGATTTCAACTTTTGACACATCCAATCGACAGACAATCCTATATTTGTAGTCAGTAGATATTGGATTCAGACTCATTTTATTCCAGATATTATATGTAATATTTCTTACTAGAAAATATTGCACACATATCCGGTTTCCTAATATTTCTCAAAACTTCCCGACTAGATTTTACTCGTACGATCCCCTTGAGTACAGTAGAGATGAATTTACCAAGTAATATAATAGTAATAAATATCTGTTTATTATAAATGCTAAGATATATGCATGTTATTTATATTGGCCATATTATGGTCCTTTCTTTATCAACTGTAAATTTTCCCTCCCAAATAGGCATACGATGAAAACAAGAAGCGACAAGTAACACTTAAAGTGAATTCTATCTTTATGGTCATAGTAGTAGTAATAAGAATAATAGCTGTATAAGTAACGAAGATACTGGTAGGAGTAATAATAATGAAGAATATATTCCTGTGAATATTTATGACGACGATAATAATAGTAACAAGAACAATTCTAGCAACTAATATTTGTGTTTCTATACTTAAATAATATAGTGAGGTTGAATAGAAAAAAACAGAGATTGAAAAAAAAGAAGGAAAATACAAATACATAATTTAAACAATACAAAATAACATAGATAAGTTTCAACGATAATGAAATACCAGTTGACAAAAATTAAAACCTCAACAACGAGAATAACAGCAATCACGAGGGGACAATTGACAGTAGATGAGTGAGAATTAAAAGATTTCTTCACTTATATTACCCAACACACACTATAAAAATGTGACGTAAGGCTAAATGGTCTTCATATCCATACTTATTTAGGTTATACCAGCAGGAGAACAAGACAGTTATATATATATATATATATATATATATATATATATATATAGTTTAGATGAACTAATTACAAATGATTTATCACTATTATCGACTAAAAGATGAATAACTTGGGATAATGAACACACAAAAGGGGACACAACTATGATGAAAATGATGAATTGTATAATGTAAATAAATTCAAAGAAAACTTTCGAACGGGAAAAAAAACGGAAAAGAGAACATTATGGGTATAATGAAGAAGGTGATGAAAAGACATTGTCAACAACTCTTGTTATCTATTAAAGAAAAGAACAGAAAGAAATAACATTTCAACAACAAAAATAAGAAAGGACCAACAACATATACACAATAAACGCAGTTATATAAAAAACATGAAGAAAATAGTAAAATCTAAGAATGATGGGAAACTACAGTTGTATGGTGAAACAATAACAATTATAATTATTAACATGTTTAAGATACAAGAAAACGGTATAATAGAGAAATAATTGTTATCCTACATGTAAACGTACATTACATATACGTAAAACCGTATGTATGTATATATACCTATGGAAACTAGTGATAACAGAATAGAATTGATTCTTTTAGAAAATAAACGCTTCTCATAAAAAAATATGCATAAAATATCCATGAGTAATAATAGTAATCATGGTGATAATGATGATACTAATAACAATAATGTGATAATAGGTGACATTATCGATGAATTTATTATAACTATCCAATTAGAAAAGTGGAATACAACTGAAAGGACATTGAATCGAGCTAATAGATGTATTTGAAAAAAGTGGATATCAGCTGTGTTTATATTCATATAAATGATATGAATAAAATGGAAGGAAAATTATTTTCAGAGAAAAAAATATGTTTATCACATATTGTGCGAATTAATTCATCGTAGAAAAAAATGCAGAAAAATTGAATAATGAAATCAACTTCATGCATAGTGAATTCTGGAAATATTTTGAGCACCTTGATCAACAACAATAACATCTCTACAATTTGATAAAGTAACTAAACCAGCCAATCGTCGAAATGACGGATCTACTTCAATTAAGTATGGTTTAAAGAGGTATCTACTTCTATTTAAAGGACAAAAAATTGCACAAGTATTTGTTTGAAAGTTTGGATCTACTACAGAGAAACGGTTGTTATTGTTACTACTGCTACTGCTAGGGACATTAATAGTAGTGGCAGCGTTAGTGGTATTACACACAATATCATTATTATTACTGTTAGTAATTATGTTAGAAGATATCGTACTGTCATCTACTTCGTGAACGGATTGTCGACAACTGGAAGTCCACAATGTTTCTGGCCAAACGACAACACCAGAACGTTGTCTATCTGAATAAGTTGCTAGGATACATTTTCCTAGTTTATCGGTTTGACTATTAGCAGACTCCGTTGGTGCAGTACTGAACGACACACCACCGAATTGACCACGTGATGGAGGAATTCGTGACTTTGAAGGACCACTTGAATGGCGGATTTCAGATAAACTTAAACGACCAGCATTTATATATTCCGAATTTGGATTGTCATATGAATTATTCAAAGCATTAAAATAAGAAGTATCCAACGAAGCTCTTGACGGTAATGTTGAGATACGCACACGTAAATGATCATCACCTGGTTGATTTGGAGGTAACAGGTCAGAAAGAAAATGTCCATCTGATGAAAATATCTAAATTAGAATGAGGATAAAAGCATTATTTAATACATCCAAAAATAATTTACAATATTTTCTTAACAAGTTAAGCTTTAAAATGAGGAAGATAATGATATCACATTACACAAGTAACTTACATACTATACAACCAACTACGTGAAAAAACAATACTTGAGAAATCGAGTCAAGAAATCGTATAAACAAAAATAAATAAGAGTAGTGAAAGTGGACAACAATGATGAACTATTAGGGTGATCACGGGGTTACCCAGCTTTTGTTGATAATATTAAGGTTTTACCAGTGTAGTAAACGAGAACACAAGTGGGGACAATTGAATGTATTTGAACATAAAATTACAGAACATCTTATTAAAATCTGAGAACCATACAGTGAATACTTAATGTGCAAAATGTTAATCAATTGTCTTAAACTTAACTGTTCCTTTTTGTAAATATCAGTCAATCATCTCAGACTTCATTGTTCCTGCATTTCCATTCCAATTTCTTTCTGTTTTAGTTCTTTCTTCCTCGATTTTCTTGACCTTCTGCTGCCAGACCTTCTATTCCTGACTAGCGTTACATACTACTTATGTCGATATAAGTAGCACACACCACACTAGTGACGGTAACCTCAGATGTTTTTTTTCTAATTTAGTTTGTGGCATGACCTCTGAACTTTTTTGACTGTTTGCCACTTATTTTATTTCGCTGACTTTCTGAATGCTTGAAGGTCATGCTTTTGTTTACATGGTGAGTTGTATTACTTTAAGTTATTCTGCTTGAATAGTAATTTTTTCCTATATTTCGTCTTTTTCTTATGTTACCAGCCAATTGTTGAATTGTCTGTCAGCTGCCATTATCCAGTCCCCAAGACAACCGTTCGTATTCGGATAGCTTAGTCGTTCCTTAATTCTCAAGTATCTTAGACCAACCGTGAACCCCAATATACCTGACCGACTTACCAAGATTTAATACGTATGTGATTTGAGGTAGCGACTTTACATTGTACTGACTATAAACTATGGAGTCCGACTACTAGTGTTTGAGTAAAGATTTTAAAAAATCCTCGACAATATGATCTAATGAATATGCACCTATTTCCGTTCATGAGAAAGACTGCAAATCTCTTGCTATTTAGATTCAAATGTCGTCTTCAAGTACAGTAGTCCGATAACACTCAAGTATCAACATCTTTGCTCTCAGGAACGTGATGAAAGATACATTTTCTATTAGCTGTGTCCTTAGAATATCATTGATGCCAGAATAACAAAAATGTCAAAATTCTACAACCCTATCTAGAATTGTTATTAACAACCGGTAAAGGTAGTCAGTTAGTTACGTGTTTCTATTATTCTTATTTATTTATTTGAACTCATAAATATTGGTACAGGGGGGCACCAAATATATATGCGCCACACAAAACAATGAGAATTTAAGAAGGGAAAAAAAAGTAAGGAACGTAGGGGATTATAAAAAAAAGAACAGTAATGGGGGAGAAAAAAAGGTGCACTCAGAAGAAATCTTACATTTAAGGAGGATACAGCCACTTTTATGAAGAAAGTAAAAGAAGGTTACAGCAGGATCGCCACTGGCTTCTATTCTGAGCCATATCTGGTAACGTTTCTAAATCGAGAACGTTTAGATAGAGCCGAATGTCCACCATAGGCGAGCTGCTGTAAAAGTCGAAAAATAAGGATAGATAGAGTGGAAATAAAAGAGAGTGAATAAATGACGTGGTAAATAATAAAAATAATAATAATAATGTTAATTGTTTGACGATAAATCGCATCGTGAACAGAGTTTTCAGAGATCATCATTTTCATTATATTTGTGTGTGGGCTGTGATACTGCCCGGGTGCCCAAGCCGAAGCAGGTGGTTTTCTTAGGGGGCCACACCCTGAGCCTTTGACCTGAACGTCTGACCCACAAGGCAGTGGAGCATCGTGAGGACATGCAGTCCCATGGTAGCCGGTGACCAACGATTGGTTCATACGCCATTTGTTCCCGCAGGATATTGGAACCCATGTGCACCATTGGTTTGGGATCCGGTTAAAGCGCCAGACATTCGCTTTTCGTCCTCTCATTTTCGTAAACAACAGTAATGCCACGAGAAGGCAGTGAGTAGTCAAAAGTTAAGGTAAAAAAAACTCCATGTAAATTAGGATGGATAATTAGAGTATTATCAGATTAATTAAAACTTCCTTCATAATAGACGAAAAATAGTATAACAAAATTATTTTTTAAAATATTATTCATTTACTTATAATATACATAATTGGTAAACTTGGGAAACAAAAAAATCACCAAGCAGAAGGGTAAAGAAAATACGACTAAAATAGCCAGAAAAAAGGAAGGAGGCGAAGCAAGTTATCTATTAGGAAAAAAATACCTAAATAGTTGTCTGTTACATTTGTACAAGAAAGGCGAAAATCACACTATAACTTCAATGATGAATTGAGTTATATCATATTCTGGTTGTTACGAGAGAAACGATGTACCAGTAAAGATGAAACATAATCTGATTTCACAGTGAACTAACACAACTAGTTTAAGAGACTTATAACGAATGATTAGAAACCAAGCGTCATTTTAATCAACTATTTATGTATGAAGTAGAAAGTTCATTAGCATAAACTTACAGAAAATATTAAATTAATGATAGAATTCGATAAGAATTAAGGATTAAGCATAATATTGCTTACAGAATAATAATCATTTAGTGTAAACATCATAGTCTAAGTTGGTAAGTCTGAATAGTCTAGTGTTAACTTTACTATTTGTGACACAGATCCGAATTTCACAGGGAAAGTCACTATCTCAATATTTCAGACACATATTGCTGAAGGGATGCTAAATCGTATCTTAACCTACCATTTAGAAAGAAATCACTACAAAGACGATACAACAAAATATTGACCATTACTATTATCCCATTGAACAATAATTTTACTCTAGTTAATGTATTTATTATAAGACTGACATTTTAAAGATGAATAGAGATCTTTAAAAAAGAGAACTTTTGAATAGATTTAATACAATGTTAGTTCTGTGGCTATGAGGTTCTAATGTAGAAAGAAGCATGTTTTAAGAAAAAAGTCTAGTGATCTGTCAAAGAAAACAAATCAAATACCAATGAAATTACGGTAAAACAGAATCATATTCTTTCATACAAGTATGCATATTAGAAAATTTTCTAAAAACAAAACTCACTCGAATACATGTTCCTGTAGACAAAATCAATTCTCCAGAGTCAGCTACACACAATCCTGTGATTAATTTGCAAACTTTAGGTTGAGGCAAATGAGAACTAGCTTCGGTTCGAATTAAAGTACTGTGTCTAGTCGGAGTGCTTGCATCATTATCCGCATAAACGGATGTAGTATTTGTCCCAATAAACACATTCACAGAGCAGGTTTCAGGGTCACAAACAAAAACGCAACCAGCTCCATTATCAGCAATAAATAAACGATTAGTTAAGGGACATCTGGCGATACTAGTTGGCTCCTTGAACAAGGGACTTGACACAGATGAAAGTACCTAAAAGGAGAAAGAAAAACATAAATTAATCGCATTATGAAGCTAAACATAGAAAAATACAGCTCAATAGTAGAGAGAGATTGGAAAGTGAGAATTGTGGAATTACAGATATAGATAGAGACAAAATGAACGTAACTAAGTCACAGTTACTGATTTCAAACTATATCACCCAAGGTCTAGGAACCGTAGATTTTATTCACCACACAGACCCTAATAAGGAGGTCTATATGTACCGCTCTCTGTGTTATTTAAATAGGCCATCAATGAATTGACTAAAGTTTTATCTTTGTCCGAACTTCCTTAACCTTCCGACCAAATTCAATGTGAGCCGGCACAGAGCACTGAAGGAAACAGATGCTGAGTATGTGTAGCATTTGTTCCAAAAACTTCAAACGGTGAAGGTTTGAAGCGTTTTCAGTCTTTTTTGATGTCTACCTAAAACCCTGAATATATACATAATATTACTTAGTGATTCTAATAATGCCACGAATACATTTATAACTAAATGCCTGGGAATTACCAATACATATACTTAATGTCATATAGCTTTGGATTTATGAGGTGATTGAAAGCGATCAGTAAGAAATTCTGAACCCGGGTTTCGTCTAACCTGGTATTCGTTAGGAGTCACCATTAATCTTGGGTGAAGTGGTATTTCCATTCAGAACCGAACCCTGATCAGTAAGTATTATAGCGTAAATATCTTAGTCTTACAAAAGTCAACCCAAAAAGCCCCGGATTGTGAGTTTGTAATTGGGGTTAGAATACTATAGAGAATATCGGTTCTTCTAAGATTCCAGATGCCTTTTACTGACAAGTGCTATCTAGAACAGACGCTCGGTTAGTAGTATCCTGCTGACTGTTTCTAACTACAGAAAATTAAAAACATAGTACCCGCATACCAAGTATTTTAGACTGGCGGCCATATTGTAGGTTGATGAACAAGATTTGATTAATACCGAGAACATGACATTGGTTGAACTTCTACCGGGGGATTCACCTGTTGACTTAGAATATGCCGATGACATAGTTCTATTTGGTGAAGACGCTGACAAAATGCAGAGTCTTTTGACAACCGTAGGCAAGAATGCAAGCATGTTTGGGATGCAATTCTCCCCCTCGAAATACAAAATGTTGCTTCAGGATTGGGTTGCATCGGTACCTGAACTAGTGATAGGAAGTGAAGTAGTTGAGCGTGTAAACCGCTTCACTTATCTTGGGAGTTTCATCCGCCTTTGTGGTCTGGTGTGTGACGAAGTCTCAGCACGGATACGGAAGGCTAGACTAGCTGTTGCCAACTTGAGTCATTTGTGGAGTAGGCGAGATATCCGTCAACCAACCAAAGGAGGACAGGTTTACTGCGCAGCAGATCGTCCCATCCTACTTTATGGCTGTGAAACATGGCTATTCGTAGGCTACTAGTGAAATGGTGGAGAAGATTTGTAGCTCAGGTGGATGATTTTGATGGAGTTTTGTTCTCTGTTCTCTGGTTTGGTCGACCAAACCATCCAGCTCAGAGAACAAAACTCCATCAAAATAGGCTACTAGTATTCGATCATAGGTGTCTCTGAAGCATTGCTCGTATATCCTGCGACCACCGAGTAATGCAGTTGTTGGGAAACGGGTACTAGGTAAGGATGGAAAATCAATTGATGAAGTAGTGAAACTTCATCAATTGAGATGGCTGGGACATGCGTTACGTGTACCCAACCACTAACTTCCCCGACGAGCGATGTTTTATGGTGTATGAGTAGGTTGGAAGAAAGCAGAGGGCCAGACCAAAACATGGCACAAATCCATGAAGTCACTGATAATTGGACTGAGCCATGTTGGTAGGTGTAAACTACCTGGTTGGGATCTGCGAGACGATAGCAACTGATGGTTAGAGACCTTGAATGACATGGCTCAAAATCGTTTGCAATGGCGCAGGTGCATTCACTCTTTGTGTCCTCCCAAATTCTAATCTTCTGAATTCTCCTTGTCTCTTTTTTTCTCTTTCCAAATTTATTTCACTGGATTATACTCCTTGAATAACATCTTCAAACCCTAATGTTTCCGATTATAGCTTATACTCTTATTACCTCTACCATTACGGGATTTCAATCAACAACTGCATCTCTGTGCTAATGCAGTATGGCAACTCGAACTGATGTACGTACGTACGAAGTTCCACGTTGACATGACATTGGTTTATTAATCAGTGTAAATCCTTTCCTGTTTGGTTAAGATATACCAATAGAAACGCTAACATGGAAATATCTATAGCACGGTAAAGGTAATCAAATCGAAAGTTTTCTTGAAAGTTTCCGTGATGTAGAAGCTATACACGATTATATTAATTATTAAATTGTTGTGAGTTAAGTATTTAATGTCCTCTGAGCAAAAGGCTAGTATTGAACTCTCACCTGTTCAGTAGCTGGGTCTAACAGGAACAGTTGCTTAGCCCGCCAATTTACAATCCATAAGCCCTGAGGTGACCACACCATACCAGTTGCAGCTTGACTAGATAATGGTTCACCGGTCACAGTGGTATGAAGTGAACCATCTGCAGGATTTAGTACTAACAGACGGCTATTGCCTGTATCCAAAACGTAAATGAAATCTCCAGTTATTGAACAATCATTTTGTGGGGCATTTGATGAGGCATCAGAAGGACGAATAGGATAAGGTCCAAAAGCTACAGCGAACGGTTGAATCAATCCTCGACCGTCGGAGCCTATTTCATAAATTGAAGTAAAGATTCTTAATCAATAAAATATATAAAATAATTTGATAACTAATCACTATTAAAGAATGGTAAAATATAACACTCCAGAACTTTATATGAAATGAGGTGCTTGTAGAAATGTTGTACATGTATAAAGAGTAAAGACATCAGTGTAATGTAGACAACAAAGCTCTACCTTATTAAGCAAGAGAGTATAACATTACGCAGAGACCTTATTAATTCACTTCAATATTGAACAAAAATGTCCAATATTTATATCACAAAAAAAGAATACATACTCATATAACATAATAATAAGGATTACATGAAAAGGTTTATGATTCTCTTGATTGTCCAACTACTGGATCACAAAAAATCCATAATAATTGCACTTATGAGTTAAGTATTTTACAATCGATCATTCATACATTACTAAGAATATTGACATGTAAATGGTTTATAAACTTCTGATAAAATTAAAGATATTTTTACCTTAATAATTGAATTCACGAGTCGATTAAAGCTAGACCACCATGGAAAACCTGGAAGCACTGGACGGCCGTTTCGTCCTAGTATCAGACTCCTCAGCAATGCTCATCCACGACCTCACTCGCCGGAGTTGAACCCAGGACCTTCGGTCTCACGCGCGAACGCATGACCTCTAGACCACTGAGCCGGCATCCAGTGGTGTTAATGTCTAACTTCACTTAATACATGAAATTGCGCCACCGTCAACCATTGTCTCCAGTGAGTTACTATATCACAATGGTGGACAGTGGCGCAATTTCGTGGATTGGTTGAAGCTAGACATTAACACCATTAGATGCCGGCTCACTGGTCTAGAGGTCATGCGTTCGTGCATGAAACCGAATTTCCTGCGTTGAACTCCCGCGAGCGAGGTGACATTAATAAAAAGAACCAAACAACATAGACCAGACTAGTATAATAATTACTATAACAATGAAATATATATTATAATAAATAACAAAGCAAAACTACTGCGAAATCATGAAAATGTATGTTTTCAAAGGAAAACATATTAATTTAGATTATAAATTCTTTAAAAATGATTACTTTTGACAACGGACGAACGAAAGCTACCTGCTTTTCTACTTAACAAGCCTGTCTTAGCAGGATGCAGTTCTAACTACTTCATGCTCAAAGTGTAATGGGCCGATTGGTCCATTTTCAACCAACCAATCATAACTGACGAGTCGAGAATATACCAGAAGCTTCTATCATACGTTGTATATAATACCTTGTTTTCGCTGCTCTATCTTTCGTTGCCCAGTTTGATTGGAATAACTATTGTTCCACCTCAATTTTTGTTCTGATTTAGGACGAGTTGAGAAAGGTATAGTGTTCAAAGAATACTAGGTAGTAGAGAACAAAACATCTAGTCAATCTGAAGGCAAGTAAAACCTTGATCAAAAGATACTTTAGGTCCATAAGAAGGGGACTTATTTAGATGTACAGTAAACATTTTCACAGTATCCTTGTAAAAACAAGACTATAAACTTTCTAAATAGGAAAAATGAAGGATATTCAGTGTGAAGAGATCGAATACAAGGAACGTCAAATCGTGAGAACGTAAGCTTCAAATGTTTATGTTGCGTAAAGATATGAACAAACGTCCTCATGAAAGTGACTTATAAACTGAAATAATTCAGCATATTGAGTTGCACGAATATACCATGGATTACCGATATCAGAAATGAAAAATCATATGTATAGATTTCTTTATCGAACTATCAACTGAACTTAATCAACTCCAGATAGTATGATACCAAGAAAGTTAACATATACGTAAACAATAATAATGCGTGAAAAAATTACCTTCTTTTAAAGACCAAATACGTTTTTGTGTTGGTTTTACATGAACACTGAAAGGTGAGCCGCGAATCGGTCTGTTGAGAATTTTTACAGATAATTTATGAAGACCTGAAAATGGGGTAATCATGCTAACCTCGTAACAACCATTTCCAATGTCTAATATATCAGTTGGGACTAAGTGACCTCGTGGATCTGTAAAAGCAACTTCAATAGGATCTGTTCCACTGTTTGATTGAGGACGACCATGATAGTCAACTGCTTGAATAGTGCACTAAAAAGAAAAAAGAACGGAGTGCGAAATGAACAATGTATTCACTTCAAAACAGATAATTAAAAAGCGCCTCTCAATGAAGTTGTTTACAAAAACTGAACTGAATTCTTGCTTATTAACAAATGTTAGGAGAGGTCAATATTTTTTGAGAGACAATAAATGAAATTATACTACTTAGTGATTTGGAAATGTTTTTTGTAAATAAACATTTTTGTTGGGTGTGAAAAATGTACAACTAACTGAAATAATTAATATGCTCCAGACCACAGGATAGATGGAATATTCATTTGATAGTGCCTGCAAAAGAACGTTCTGCCGTATTTCATACTAACACGATTTCAAATGAAACGCTTATGATCTTCTATACAAGGAAATCATTCTTCAGTATCATCACTTCAGGAGGAATATAAAAAACTAAGCGTAAACGTCATGGAAATCAAGTAACACAATACAATAATTGCTATCTACCTAACAAAATTAATGAATAGTTAGGACTTGAGTAGATCGTAAGGGGATTTCAAAAACCATGTTTACTGGTATACTTTTACTAGATTATAATCTTTGATAATTTCGGTCTTATATACAGTATAGAAAGGATTGAATACAAGTTTGTAAATATCATAAGATCAAAATATCAAATTTCTGAGTTAAAAAATAAACTACCTTTGAAAACAACCCTAAAGAAAGCTAGAGTTTTACTAATAGTCGATTGACTTAATAAAATCTTAGCTGTTATGTTCAGAAAAAATCACTTTACAAATATGTATAAATTAACAGACCACAAAAACGTCTTTGATCTTTAGTCCTAGAAAAGAATTTCCAACTGGAACACAAATATTACGTTTGTGAGTTGAAACTGTGCTCAGATTTTTTTATAATCTTAGCTAAATTATTCCAACATAGACATGTACGTATCCGGAAATTCAAAAAAGAAAAGGAAATACACGAAAATGTTTTCTAATAGAATAGTTTTATCATGTACAGGTCGGTCAATTCAAGTCAACATAAACAAAGTAACAGTTCAGAGATGAAGGTAAAAAAATGTTTCATGTCTGGAATTATTTATAATTTCAATGTCTGGTTATGTATGCTTATTCATCAACAGAAACAGAGCTGTTCTATGGAAATTGTGACTAGTAAAAAAGGGATTTTCAGGTGTCATAGATAAAGGTAGGAAAATGTTTCTAATTCAATAATAGATTGAACATAGAGCATAAGGTTTACTACAAAATACAGAATTGTGGAGAACAGACGTAATAACGCTTATTACCCCATGATTAATGAAATCTATTGAATAAAGGAAGGCTCCAGAATTTAACACAAAACAACAATTATCGATCGTATTTAAATCATATTTCACTTACCGATAAGAAAACAAATATTAATAAGTCTAGTGGTTCTTTGAGGGTACTGGGTTAAATCTCGTGTGCACAGAGTAATCAATAGTCTAACATACGGGCGAAACAGCTGTTCAGTGCTTCTTAGTTTTAAATAGTTTTCCAGTTGATATCGGTTTCTAATGAAAAATATTTCTAAATTATAAACTCTTTACAAACAATCTCTAATTTGTTAACAATTTCTGTTCGGCCACTAGTGATTAGCCTTAAAATAGACCTCTAAAAGTTGTAATTATAAGCTTTGATTTGCGAAAACGAGATAATAACGTGTTGACGATAAAAGTTTTATAATGCGAATCAATAAAAGCTCACAATATGGACCAGTAGATGACGCTCTGGCAGTCGGAAGGAATCGTGGTTGGAACTAAATTCGAAGGTCATTGCTAATGTTTGGTGCAACTTATTTATGTGCTCAACTGAGGCACAAAGTTTTTGTGACGGGCTGATGATACTACCTGGGTACTTAAGGCGAAGTAGATGGGATGGTGTTCGAACATGTAATCTCCTGGTTGAAAGTCGAGTAGTTTCACCACCGAGCCACACCCCTACTTGGGATTAAGCCTGGATATTGTAGACTTAATCCCGTATGGGGTAGTGGGTCCACGATACTGACCACAGTGAAACTACCAAGAAATAATTTTCTAAGGTACTTTAGTTTTTACTGGCTTTCTGTCTGACGTAGTTCGTAGTGAAAAATGTAGACAAAATCACCCTAATATGACAGCACATCATAAACGGTCATGCTACCCTTTCACATGCCACCTACCTACATACTGCTATACCTGGAATTTTTTTAAAAAAAAGGAAATAACTGATCTTTTAAAACGTAAGAATAATCCAATTATTGTTCTATTTGCAAAAACGACAAAAATCTAGACAATAAGGAAGGCAGTGTGAGAATAATATGCGACTAGCCTTTTGAAATATACTGACAATGACAGGTTTAAGAATAAACGTGTTATCAACTAGAATAACTATGAACAGTACGATAAAGCATCTTTTAAATTATACATGATTGAAAAGTTTAACTAGATTATAATTATTAAAATTGCTAGCAATGAGATGACAGCTTGATTTTTCACAATTAAATAGAAATGAACAAAAGCGTTTTGTATTATGTAGAACAATTATTGTGTATAGTGTAGAATATTGATGATTTAGTTTGATCCAAGTGATAATATTGTCAAGAATATTCTACTGTACAGAACAAAATGTTCACAAAAAAGCCCAATAATGATACTTCAAGGACAATTGTATTTTTTTAATTAAGAGAAAGTGTTTCAGAAGGAAAGAGGAGAAAATATGAAATAATAATAGGAATAAACATTTGAATATCAGTTTCAGAAACCATGGACAAACAGAACGTTTGTCTGGTATCCAGATCCCGGAAACAACTTTATCTTACATAACTTTTAAGGGATTTTTGTGTCTTCAAAAAAGAATCACAAAATTGTTTCAGGCCGCGTGTAGTTTAGCCCTTTATTATGAGAGAAGTCATGTTATTTGATCCGATTATTGACTTATTCGCTCACATCTGTAGAACCGATAACTTATTTTACCACTCTAAAACGGCCGGAACCTTAATGCCTATTAGTCTTCGAGATTCTTGAGATCCAGTGCCCAATCAAAGAACGAAGGTTAAACACAGATTAACTCGCGATTGTACTTAATTCATTTATTACTCAAAACCCATACATATAATACACTTGAAATACCTGATTGCATACCAATACAAATAAGAAATTGAAATGCGTGAACAACTGTCATAAGTGATATAAAGACGAAATAATTATTCAATAGGTAAAACTTGAACAATAAAGAAACATAAAAACGATTTATGGGTCAGACAAACGCTTACAAATATCCGAATATAAAAATACGATTATTCAAGAATTTAATAACCGCAAAAATACAAACGAGAATTTCCCGTACGACAGTTCTGAAAGTTTGACCTTACGCAAATCCTCTTTGATAAGACAGTTTTTATGAACGGGCTTTCTACTGTAAAACTCAGTGAGCATAATCCCTATCAACCGATGATATGCAGTGATACTAAATGGATGAGTGATGCCTGCTAATGAAAACGAATGACTAACACAAGCCTCCTAATGATTTTAAATTAAAGACAGTCAGAAAAATAAATATTTTCATATAAGAAAGTATCATGCTTACATACAAAGTACGCTTAATAAATTGAAGAAAAGAATTTTGTAGATCACTCGCTCTTGAACCACTTAATATCTTTCCCATTGTATCAATAACCAGCCGAACATGTCATCACCGGACTACAATATGACATCTTTGAACAATGAAATCAGTCAGTCAGCTATGTAGGACCAGGCACATATATGCATCAGTCCAAGTTGCCATGCCACATTAGCACAACAAGAAGAACACCGAATTCATAGAAATAATCACTTCAATGGTAGTAATGTATAAAAGAAAGAATGCGTATAAGAATATATTACACGAAGAAAGAATTAGTTCGTAGAAAGAAAGATATAAAGCCATTTTAATCTCACGGTTTAAGGGAAAACAGATAGTGTATACACATACGCCATTGTGATCGACTCTAAGTCATGTTATCCAGAGTCTCCAACCATTGGTTACGATAATCACGCGGACCCCAATCAAGTAGTTTGAATCTACCAACATGGCTAATGCAATACATATGAAAATATAAAGTTTTTACAAATCTTCCTCAGTATTATAAAGTACCTTGAAGATGGATGCTACCATGCAGAAAAACTATGTCTAGAACCTTCAATTAACTTTAAACGAATATTTGGAAATATTTTTGCATTATTTAGGCTAGTGATTACATATGTACTAATATGATTTATTGAACATAACTTATACTGGCAAATAATGGTAGATATTAATTACATTTCCTACAACAAATCTATGTAATTATCAGTTTATATAAATAAAATGCAAAGTCATATATTAAGAGCATTTTAAAAGAAAAAATACTTACTCTAGTATACAGATGGGTAAACATTTCATTTGGTAAACGAGCAGTACATAATGCAGGATAAGTTGTACTAACAACTAAACGACCAAAGCCAGCAAGACAACGAGCAATATCAGGAAGGCTAACCTGATGAGGAGAAGACTGAAGAGTTGTTGTAGAAGACACATTCGATCTTTGATGATGATTACGATGATGAGATGAAGAGGATGGTGAGTCTGATTCACTATAATTTGTAACCGATGGGGATGATGAACATATGGTGCGTTTCGAGGCAGTACAACACATATTTATATGATTATGCTGATTGTATGGACCAACACAGTCTTGATAACAAAGGAAGGCATTTTCACGAGGTTCAGTTAAGCTACTAATCGAATCCAATTTATCATTTAGGTAACTTATTGTTTTCGTAATACTTCGTACATCCATCTGAAGATTAAAAGAAAAGTGCGAAAAGTACACGGAAATATTATCATATTAAAAATTATGTAATTTATACGTATAAACTTTGGTAAACTGATTGAAATTATGATATATGGTAAAACGCATAAGTCAGTCAGTCAGCTACAACCCATAAACAAAACGACAAAGAGCGACCTAAGTGAATAAAACTGATAGTGGTTAGACATTAGCCTAAAATAAATGGAAAGTCAGTGACTTGTCGTTATCTTGGCTCCACAAACCAATGTATATGAAGTAACTTGAAAAAACATATCTCCTAGGTTACATAATTATCCATACATTAGTGATCTACTCGGTGAAAAGTTTACTGGTTAACTATGCGGTCCTCTGAAACTTAATTAATTAGAAGTTGTACTTAGTCATTATTTGACAAACAGTATGTTACGCCAATCGAGTGGTAAAAATTTGATCAAGTTTATCCATCAGGCATTTATCAAATCGAAATGAACGAATAAATAGGGTATGAAATTTGAAGGGAAAATATACAGAAGATAGTTTTTACACTTACAAAAAGAACAGAGGAAAGCAAAAACCGATTTCTATTATTTTGATAGTATTATGAAATAATACATTACTTTCAGTAGCTATAATTTAGCGTGATTTTGATATCCAAAGTTATACAAAGTTTTTGTCTTGACGACAAAAAAATGAATAATAACTTCAATTATTCTCCACTATTGTATGACAATATTTATAGGTGGCTGGAGCACACTTATTTTATTTTATTTTATTTTAACACATAGGTATTGGTACAAGGAGGCACCAAATACATATACGCCACACAAATCTCAATTGATTTGTGTGAGGGCTGTGATACTGCCCGGGTGCCCAAGCCGAAGCAGGTGGTTTTCTTAGGGGGCCACACCCTGAGCCTTTGACCTGAACGTCTGACCCACAAGGCAGTGGAGCATCGTGAGGACATGCAGTCCCATGGTAGCCGGTGACCAACGATTGGTTCATACGCCATTTGTTCCCGCAGGATATTGGAACCCATGTGCACCATTGGTTTGGGATCCGGTTAAAGCGCCAGACATTCGCTTTTCGTCCTCTCATTTTCGTAAACAACAGTAATGCCACGAGAAGGCAGTGAGTAGGACTTCCCTGGCAGGGGCTATGTACGCGTGGCCATGTGAGAGCATTTCGAGAGGGAGAGCGGACTCTCCCCACTCTCGGCCGTACCAGGGCATTTGGGGGCGCTGGAGCACACTCGATGTGGCTGAACTCCTCTGATCACGACTTCTTACTAGAACTATGGTAATGACGTCTTAAAATTAATCAACAGTGAGCATATGATTACTATTATTAATGTAAGAGGTCTGAGGAAATTTTTAATCACGAACTGACCTTAATTAGACAACCACTGAAAACCAGAAAGCACTGGAAGGCTATTCTGTTATATTATAGAACTCTTTAGAAGTGAGCCGATCCACTGGTTCCAATGCTAAGGGGTCGCCAAGAGAGTTGAAATCCCATAGTCCCGTCACTAGTGCGGTCGTAAACACACACTGCTGAGTCTCGTGCTAAAGTGAAGCAGCTGTCCAGCCCCTCCTATTTAGCAACTGTTGTCTAAATACAGTCAGTTCGCGATATAAACCCTCAAAATTTGATAATCTTCACAAAACAAAACTACATAAAAAAATATACTAACTTATTAATATGCAAAAATAATCTTACTGAATACATTTCGTTCTTGGTGACTTACATCAACAACTAATACTATAACTAAATAGAGATGGTATTAGTCTATATTTATCAAGTCTACTTCGTCTTTCTGTTTGCGTTTTAAACAAAGAAAGAATAATTTCTGACATTTGTGAACTTTTCTTTGTTCACATGATTACAGTTAAATCACTTACTTTTCATAACAGTTGGATAGAACTCTTAGTCCTTATACAACCGATTTAAAAGTTTGTAAATGTTAATTTCCCGCTATTTGATAGTATGCCTGTAACTTGGCGTCGCAGACCTTTCCTTAAAGTCGTACATGTGCACTGAAGATATTATGATGTAGATATTCTGGGTCAGACAGTCAGTCAATTAACCAATACCAAAGAGAGATTTGATATTAGTTTATCGGTTTTAGAACCCATACCTTGCATCACATCAGCACAGTGGGAAGAAATTAACAAGATAAGTATAGAATGAGGAAGTAATATTGAAAGCAATAGAAATCTGGACATGTGTTACACGGTTCAAGAGGAACAAGTATGACTGAAGATTCGAGGTAAGAGATGACAAGGAATGTTGATGAATTCTGAAATACAGCCTTGCAAACAAATATCATCCGAAAGGTAAGGATATGAAATAAGTCGACCACTAACTGATTTTATGACCGTAGTTATAACCTTGAGACAAATTATAAATGATTCTAACCAATCAAGTGAACGGTCTATGTATTACATGTAATTCCTAAAGATTGCCAATTAGAATTAGATGTCAAAAAAATGATATGATGAAATGAACCAACTATTTTATTCTTAATGACAGAATAATAAATAAGGTGGTTAACTTTTTAACTTATAATCAAATACTGCTTAAAATGATATGATGTATGTACATGAAAAATAAACCAGAATTCCTGTCAATCATGTTCTATACAGTTGACATTTATTGTCAATAGTACGGATAGTACGTTTATTCAGTTACGACATTTTCTATGCTAACATTAGACTAAAGGATGTCTTAGTTAGCAAATCCTTTAATTAAACAAGCTTAGGTTAAGAGATGTGATTAATATTAACCTTAATTTCTGATTACATATATGGCTCACAGTCTAGTTTATGAACGTTTAAGTAATAGCGAAACTGATTTACTTAGAAGTGTACCTACAGCCTAGTAACCTAATGCAACGTTAGATCCAAAAAATACTGGATGTTATTAAATGTTAAACAATCGAAAACAAACAAGTCAGTCAAAATGACTGGTCAATCAGTAAATATTAACAAGAACCGAACAGAATAACTGGGTTATAGTTAGTAAATTATGAAACAATTAAACAAAAGAGGATTACTTACAACGCCCTTTAAACGATCACATTCTGTACGAATTAAGTCTCTTTCTGTTTCAATTAAAGAAAGTTGATCTGTTAAGGCACGTCGTTTTTCTTCTCCAAGTCGTTTCACACAGTCTAATAATTCTCCCTGACGATGTTCAACGAGTGCCAATATCTCAGAAAAACGTGAGTTAATAGACTAAAATAGACAAAATAAATAATAAGGGATTACGTATTGAAGGAACCAAAAACGTTTAATATAATGAAATGTGAAAACATATATCTATGAAGGATGACAACAATCAGAAAGAGAGGAACAGCAATAGCTGACATATTAACTCAAAAGAATGATGCTTTATCCTAAAAGAAGTCATAAATCCACCATCTACCTATGTATAACTAGTTTGTATCAATAAACAATGATTGATATGATAGTCGATGAGATAGTGTGAACAAAAACATATATGTTACGGAAAAATGAGCTGTAGAATGACTTCATTTCTCGATCTTCACTGTCTTTAAACATACACCATATAACCTCAACATTACTTTTATGCTGATATCAATGAATATGAACTGAACTATAAAGGTATCTGAAAAATTACGTTATCCTAGAACTGCAACGTTTTGAAGACGTGAAACTTTGAAAAACAAAGTGTTACACTTCTGATCATTAGAGCTCAAATCGACGTTACCACTGTATCGAAAAACAACCTATATTGGTATACAGCACACTAGCTTTGTTGAACGAAAATCAGTTGGGCGTTTCGCAATAAAAACAGCAATCACACTACCTTAAAACGCAGGCTTTTTGACTACTTACAACGATATATCAACCAAACTCACTATACGTGAAAAGATATTATCCGCATACTTGGTATGGAAAATTGTTCCGAAAAGTAATAAGTTTATGTTGTTACTAAACACCTATAATTCTATTCTTTATTAATGATAATTAACAGCACCTACATTTAAATCAAATGATATGAAAGGGGAATATATCTCGAAGTATTCGAGAAAACTGCAGCCAAAAACCAAATGAAAATGGTCAAGGTTATCCGTACAGCTTAGTGTTTCCAGTGATTATGCCAAGAATAATATTTGGATTTTCTGCCAGCCACTATCACCTTAAAAAGTTTACGAGCCGTATTGAGATTTAGAGAATTATAAAAAGAAGAACGAAAGAATAAACACAAGATTAGATGTTGATAACAGACAAAGGTTTTAGGCAAGAGAGAAGGAAAAAACGAGCAGTATGAGAATTATCAAACATATTTGTTGATCCAACTTGCCATAATTCATATAGTAATAAAGAAAAATAAAAGACGAGTGAAAGTGATTAACACTGTCAGAGGACGAAAACGAACAAGACAACAAAGCATATACAATGGAGGATGGATACGTTCGAACTTTTAAGACTGATGCTCAGCCTTAGTGCCTGAAGTTTACAACTACGGATAATAATGGTGGAACGGCCATCTTACTACATTAGTTAGATCAATGGTCAAAGGATTCATGAACGCATATTATGTTTTGGCCGGACCACCATTAACGATTTTCTAACTCAATACTAAGCCAATCAACGTAGTGCGATGGGTGATGAATAGTTTTTTATTATTTTATTGTCTTATTTACCATGTAAAACTTTGTTTACTTGACTTTGAGCCCTACTATTAGTGTGTGGGCTAGTGAAATAACTGATTGTCCAAACTGAATTAGGCGGAGCGGTGTCAGAACCAGTTAATGAAAGTCAAATCCCCTAACCATAGAGCGAATGCTCCACTGCGATGACTAAATTCGGATTATAAATGTCTCGAACCATACATCTGATTAGGCTTCACAATCTTATTAATCTTATTTATCACCTTAACTCAGCATTCAACCCTTAAAGTTACTTCATACACACAGTTCCCTTTATCATTTTGAAAAGAGCAAGAACGAAGATTCTAGCAGAATAGCATGAATTCATTTTATTTCGTAGGTTCTCATCAGCTGCTTACAACCTGTGATATTTATAAATCATAATTAAATAATGAGTTTAAATGACTTACATGAGAGAGTTTGGGTAGAAGTTATACTGAAGACATATTCGTATAGTATAGCAAGGGTGTAAATGAAATTAATAGACTGAATATTGTAAATATATACTTAATGTGAAAGAATATTCTACATCATTAATTGTGACAACAGTTCAAAAAAAGGAGGGGTTAGAAACAATTGATTGCATAATGAGTAAAAATTTTGATAGGAATATAGTGAGTAGAGTTCATTTAAAAGATTCTTAATTTGAAACGTAGTTGAAGAAATAAAAATAATGAAAATCAATGATGTAATAAGTACAAAACACAAAATAATTTATGGTGCAGCGAAGGAATATTTTTCACCAAAGCAAGGAAAGATTAACAACCATCTCCTTTTGAACACATGGGTCAGGTTTTTGACGCCTGATGGCAACGGCTTCAGCAAACTTCAGAAGACCGGAGTTTGGCTGCTTACTAATCACCTTGAAGGATTGTAAGGTATCCACCTGATGTCCTGTATCAAGATGTTTGGTGATTGCACTATTCAGAGTCCTTCTTTCCCTTGTTCTAAGACTTTTTGGAACATGTTCAAAAAATCTAAGGTATGCTCTTCTTTCTGTTCGGTCAATGTAGCTGCTTTGGCAGGTACACGTAAATTTATAAATACAGTTGGCGGTAACATGAAAGGGGTGCTTGTCGACCTTTGATTGAGTTATTGAACATGTTTTTTTATAGACTATTAAAAGTTTGGCAGCCGGATAAGTTCTGGCAAGCGCAATATTCAGTCTCCTACTGATTATTTGTGAGATGTTATCACCTTTAAAGTTAAGATTTATTGATACTGTCTTTTTATTGACCGTAGTTATTTCCGTCTTGTTTTCTTTGTGCTTTTTATATTTGTCAATAAACTTTTGTGGATAGAAGTTGTTCCTTAGACATTTTTCTAGGTTCATTAATTCTTCTTCAAGTTTGTCGGTGGTACATATCTTTTCTACCCTGTCAAAGTTACTGTTGTTCAATTAAAAATTCCACCGCCCACAAATGCCCTGGTACGGCCGAGAGTGGAGAGAGTCCGCTCTCCCTCTCAGAATGCTCTCACATAGCCATGCGTATATAGCCCCTGCCAGGGAAGTCCTACTCACTGCCTTCTCGTGGCGGTGGTGTTGTTTACGAAATCGAGAGGACGATAAGCGAATGTTCGGCACTTTAACCGGGTTGGTGGACACGGAGGGTCCACCTAGGGGAGTTGGAAAACCATTATTCCAAACCAAGGCTGCACATAGGCTCCAGGATCCTGAAGAAACAAATGACGTATGAACCTATTCTTGACCACCGGCTACCATGGGACTGCATCTCCTGACGATGCTCAACTGCCTTGTGGATCAGATCTTTCAGGTCAGAGGCTCTGGGTGTGGCCCCCTAAAAAACCACCTGCTTTGATCTGGGCACCCGGGAAGTATCACAGCCCACACACAAATCAAGTGACTTATGTGGCGCATATGTATTCGGTGCCCCTTTGTACCAATATTTATATGTTCAAATAAATAAATAAAGACATTCCACCATACCCGGTCAAGATTTATGATTGAGTACATGAAATCAACGCATACTATCCACATCATCCAGCTGTTTTACAGACAGAATGTAAAACCAGTTTGTGTCAATATTCTCTGAAAAGACAATGACAGCTTTACGATTAAACCACTCAGCTCAAACGATATGAATTCACAAAAACCATCCCCTTTAGCTACAAATATCCACTATGTTAAAGGTAATATAATTCAGGTGTTGAATTTGAGTTTGCTTAGCGCGGTCAACACCAATAAACCTTTCTATAGAAATAAATCCAAAACGAAATTTCTGTCAAACTAAAATCGACATTGTAGACGTTTTATTGTTTCAAGTTGAAAACAGTTGACTGGACAGAGCAAACTATTTTATACCAGCAAACGTAAAATTCAAACGTTATACAGCACTAATATTACGCCTGATACATTGGTATTCGGATTGATTGATAGTCACAATACACGAGCTTAAGCTCCATTTAAACCATTAAGAACATGTATTGTTTATATTACTGAGTTGTTTGTGTTTAATTAAATGAAGGTAAAATACAACTTTATAGCATTTGCATCATAACATGCAGACACTAAAATGAATGTTCATGAAGAATCAAAACTAGTTAATTATAACAAATTTTACTTAGAAATTCAAATTGTTTTCTCATAACCCTCAATAGCTGGAGATTCATCTCATCCAACACGAAGTTGAATGCTTTTTTAAAAATCTAGCGACTTACTTCAACACATGAACTAGTATTATTTGTTAAACGTTCTAGTTCACTTGTTACGGCTTCTTGAGCACAATTTAACTCTTGAGTACATAAATGCATTTTATAAAGCATAATTTCTGAACAACGTTTTAGTGCAACATTGAATGTGATCACATTATGATTTAGGCCAGTATTCGACGATGAACTTTCTACTTGTGCAGTAATATCTTGATTTCCATTGTTCACTGGTAAACACGATGAGTCTAAAAAGTTAACAAATTCATTTAAAGGAATTAATATTCTTTATTACCATTCACATGATTTTGAACAGCATGATTACGACCTCGGCATTCACTGCAAAATACCATATCACAAGTTTCACAAAATAATAGCTCTTGTGATGGATGTATACAACATTTAGGTACAACATCTCGACGATGGGTAGCAAGTAGGTCTAATAACTGATTTACTATAAAAGCCGGAGGAAACGAAGCTGCACCACCTGATGGAATAGCAATATTCTCCCGGCAAATTGGGCAACGAAATGTCTCTGACTGAGTCTAAAAAAATAGACAAATTCAAAATTACTTAGAGTCATCATTCTTCAAGTTGTTTTACTTTGCGCCGTATGAAAAAATGTGTAAAATGCATAGATTCAAACAAAATTACAAATTCAAAGTGACTTTATCGCAGTTAATTGTTAGTAGATAATCACATGTGAGTATTTTATACATATTATATATATATATATATATATATATATATATATATATATATAATATTTTATACATATATACTGAATAAAGATATGAATCAGTACCAAACTAATAAGCTCATAATATTACTTTCAAATCCTACTAAATATGTGGAATTCGGGATACAAAGAGATGTCTTCTTCTTCATAACACTCAACAATTAAGCACCACAACAACTAGTTACTGATTAGCATTCAGTGAACACTAATTATTACTTAGTTGGTACAATTCACATCAAAATCATAAGGAAAAAATAAGACAGAAATAAGGGGTATGACGTTAACAGTAAACAGTAAAGGTTGGTATTGAGGGTTTCTTTTCCAGTATGACTCATCGTCGTCAGACGTTAAAAGACCCAAAGCATGAAAGCTGAATACTTTTTTACGTAGAAGATTAACGGTAGTAATCCTTGTAAACATTTACGCAAGCTGAACTTTTTCATGAAATTAGAGCTGGTGAGGTTCCTCTAGTTTGGTAACGAAATGTTTACAACAGGATAGCGAACTCTATAAAACAAACATAAAATTATGATCCTCGAACAGAAACATTTCCTGAATTAAACAGAAGGCGATTTTAATTGAAACGAATCTATCAGTAAAACCTTGTGGTGAAGAATATGAAATTCCAACCTGGTGGTGTAGAAAAGCCGTATGGCTGAAAATATTTCTTACAACACAGATTATGCTGAAATATGGCCAAATGAAAAAGCTATGTTAAAGGCTTAGAGTATGAATAAAATTACTGGAAGTGACAGTTAGGACTTACTTCATTTGTAAGGATCCGATCTAAACAAGAACGGCATATTGTATGTGAACAAGGTAATAATTTGGCAGCACGTTCACTTGAATTATAACCACTGAAACACGTACCACACGTTAAAAAATTATCTGCGAAGTCGTCCACATTAATCATAACAGTTTCCACTAAACGGGATGACATCTAAATACAAGTGAAACAAATTGTGAGCAGTAGTGAAATATCATATCCTTAAATAAAAGATTAGTGAGATTAAAAGCTTCCTAAAAGTTTGCAAATGATTAGATGAGTTGACGAAAGTGAACAAATCAAATGATAATTTACATTACAAGATTATTTCATCCGACTACTTCATTATTTCCAGTCCTAATCCCCTAACATTTCTAAATGTAAGTTAATCTCTTCAGTATTTGCTAAAACGAACAAAATATATGGATTAAATGACCATGTAATCCTGATGAGATTCACAGGACCACAACGGTGGCTAAGGTCGATAAGAAGACTGAAAGCACGGTCTCTAAGAAGAGAAAAATGAAACAAGTTAAAGCTATCACCGTTTACTCAATGTTACTATGGAAGGGTCAGAAATCATTTCACGGGGGTGCCATGATCTTGAAGGACCAGTCTTAACAATCAAACCTTAGTTGATTGAAGGGCGAGAGACCTACGAATTAATTTTTCCCCATTATCTGAAGCATTTTGTTAGTTATTTTGTGACTATTATACAAATAAGCATACCATTTCTTTACAAAGAAAGCCTATTCTTCTGGCTAATGTCCTTGTCACGTTACAAATCATTCGGAGGCGTGGGTAAACTATCTGTTATCGTGAGCATTCATCACTCAGACACACGGAGTACCATTATGTTTTGCCTATAGACCACTATCCCGCTTCCTGATTTTAACGATTGAATCTTTAGAATTCCACACCATAACTAACTTGTATCACATTTAGGTTTAGGTGGAGTCAGTGAGCATAATTGAGCTTCCACAGATTAATCTATGTTTGGCTACAATCTTCTTTGACTGATGTTTATCTACTTTGATCTTAGAGATCAGAAAAATTTAAAACTACGTGCTACCATTGAATTTTATTGAGGAATGGGTTTAATTTGCAAGTATTTATTCCCATTGAATAATAACTCATCTACAGTTCTTCCGTAATTATAAACTCAAAAGCTCGGCAAAATTATCGATCAATGGTCGAATTTCTGGCTCCCAAAAACCAAGTTCAACATGTATCTTATAAACTATAGTTACTTACTATAACCAGTTGTAATTTTTAAGGGTTTCGTTTTTAGTCAGGGCTACTATATTGGAATTACTTTGAGACATGTGAAAACATCCATAAAAGGGATGCATTCTTCAGCAAGTTATCGATCATTGGCTTAACATGTACCAAGCATACAAAGTACATGGGAGTTAATGTTGATCAATAATGGACTAAAACATTCTCGTTTATTTACATTGAATGAAAGACGTATAGCTTGCCGTGCGATTTATTAAAAAACCAACTAACTTACGCAACTAAGATTTTGAAGGGAAATATCTTATTACCTGAACGTACTGCAGAAGGTACAAATGTGTATCTTTTGAGTTTAGTACAAAATTCACAAACTAAAAAATACAGTCCGGAGCTAATGATCAGACTGCCCGTTAGTGTTCCTTTACTCACGGTACGATCACAGAGTTAAATGACATTGTGGTCTTTTATGAAGACATACTAGTGAAAAATTCTTTATTATATACTCAACTGCTTCACACAGTCAGGTTAAAAGTTAATTTGGGCACAGCAAAGTTTTAATAACTCTGTGATATATATTATATGTTACGCTGGGGTCGGAAGCCAAGATAAACTTAAAAAGACTATACATACCATTGATGAGGTCATCTCCTAAGGGACAAACCCATACGCAACAAGCCAATCAGGTTAACGAGAACCAAACAACCCGCAGTAACAAACAGTGTCCAATGGAAATCCTCTGGATTACGCGATATTTTGTATTTAATTGTACGGATTTGACTGAATGACTTTCTGAGCTGTACAACCTAATGTTGCCAACCGTATGTATGTTTTGATATAACTCCTAATCACAATTGTTATGGTTAGAACTGCACTCTATCCCATAGTTTTGGTTTGAAAGGGACAAGAGCCTAGGTCTCCTGTATTATTCCTGGCAATGATGGTCTCTCAGTTGATCCAAGTTTCTTTTGAAAGAGTTGACGGATGGAGCTTCAATCATGTGTTGAGGTAATGAATTCCACCCGTTGATGATTCAATGGGAAAGTGGATAGTCAAATTCAGATTTGTGTAGTAATAACAGAAGGCCTACGGTTTATGTTATTCTTTTTCTAGTATGCCATTGTGATTATCCAGTCTTCTGTTGAATGAGTCAATTGAAGGTGTGGACACCACTGCTTTGGGTAACAGGTTCCAAGTGTCGATGAGTCGATGTGAAAACCTGCGTGCCATGGGCACTTTGTTTGTTCTTGGCTTTCTTACTAGCCTGCTATGTCCTCTGAGATGTCCCAATCTAGTGGGAGGGGAAAGGGCAAATGTGTTAGGTTCAAAACCATTTCTTAGCATTCTATACATCAAAATCATATCTCCTCTTAGTCTGCGATAGGACAGAGTAAAGAGGTCCACTTTTTCAAGCCTCTCTTTGTATGATAAAACCCTGGAGTTACATGGATAGCTGCCCTCTGTACTTTTTTAGGACATCTGAGTCACCTTTTAAACGGAGGCTTGAAGCCTGAACACATTTCTCAAGCACAGTTCTTACTAAGGTTGCGTATAATGTAGTGAACATGGCAGAATCTAACTTAGTGCATGTCCGTTTTAAAGCCCAAAGTGTTCTGAACCCCTTCGCTGCGACCTCCTGCCAATGGGTCATGGTCTTAAGATCATGACTTTCTGTCACCCCGAGATCCTTATGAGACCGGATCACTGGTACAGACACTTCCCCTATGCTGTACCTACTGACCTTTTTATCCTCAAAGTTCATGTAAACACACTTTTCCGCGTTGATGGGCATCAGCCACTCTTTAGACCAGTTAATCACATTAAGGCTGCCTGAAGTGCGCATTCATCTTCTCTCTATATCGTCAGCGTATAATAACATTGCGAACTCAACTATACTTGGGAATTCATTCGCATACATTACAAAAAGTGAATGACCTAGGAAAAAGTTTTGCGAAACTCCGCTAAGTACTGTTATCTAGTTGGGGCAGTTGGAACTTACTCTTACTTTCTGTCCACGGTCTACCAGGAAATCCCTAAAACATTTTAGGGGAGATCCGCCAGTGCCAAGATTTTCCAACTTCAAGAGCAATTTATTTGTTGACACCTTATCAAATGCTTTACTGAAGTTCATGTAGACAACATCCACTGATTTTCCATTGACCCCCTGCAATAAGGAGGTTTGTTGTGCAAGATAAATCTTCTGAAACCATGTTCTCTTTTTAACAAGCTGTTAGTTTCCACAAATGTCACTCTGGTCTTTTTAACTATTCTTTCCAGTATTTTAACTACGAGACTGGTGAGGCTGACAGGTCTATAGTTCTATGGAAGTTGTCTTGGTTCTGTTCTATGTATGGGAGTGACAATTTCATCCTTCCAGTCTATAGGTAACACACCTTGGTTAAGTGATATATGGAATATCGCAGTTAGTGGGGCTGCAATATATTGTGCAGTTTGTCTCAGGATTTTGGGATGTAGTTCATTCGGTCCTGTTAACTTTCCGATGTCTAAGGTGCTAAGAGCCTTAAGTACATCGTGTAGATCAAAGTCCACGGTGAGCAGACGGTTTGTTGACATTATATTTGGGTCTAGTTCTTCATTCAGAAGAGGCTGCTGATAGAAAACTTCTTATTCCTGATCATCCCCGATTATTTCAGATCCACTCCCTCACTTAATTAGTTTGGGACTCACATGCCGCATCCTTGTTCTGTAATTTATATACAGGAATAGTCTCTTAGGCTATTTGAGTGAAGATTGTGCCAATTGCATTTCTTATTTTCTCCAAGTTTCCCTTATTTTAATTGTACACTTACTTCTTATTGACCTGTAGCGTTCCATAGTACTTGCTGTGCCAAAGCTGATGGCAACGTTCCAACATTTCTTTTATCTTAGTAAACGTCGAATATCCCGGTCTATCCAGAAATGACTGTGTTTCTTCTCTTTCTTACTTGGGCCTTTGCAGGGTATATATGGTTGAGTTACCTGGTTTTATAACTGCCTGAAATGAGTTAATGCCTCTTCTACTGATACCCCTGAATCAATTATCCAGTTTTCAGCTGATGCTGCATAGTTTATCGCTTTCATTTCTTCATTTCAAATGTTAGAACGGGCCGGTGCAACTGTTTGGCAGGCCATCTCAGCCATGAGCTTGAATAAGATGACTTCATGATCACTTCTCCCTGGAGGTGATAGAGAAGTCATTTGACCGACATCATCACCGTATGTGAAAAATAAGTCCAAGAGAGACGAGGAGCTTCGTAGGTCATTTTTGGTGGAATCTTTAACGTGCTATAATAAAGCTAGTGCGATTGGGATTTCTAAAAGTTTGAAATCAAATTTCGTCGATGACTGTACTTCTCAATTTACCCAGTTTGTATGTGGTGAATTAAAGGCTTTTACTCCTACCATATCGGGACTTAAGTTTACTTAGGAAGAAGTCATCTACTGAACATTCTGGACTGTGATATACTACAGCTAATCCAATATCTTGCCGTCTACATTTCAGCCTGCAGCGCACCAATTCACATGTCCCTGAATCATGTGCCGATGTTTCAGCAGCTCGTATGGTTAAGGTACTCTTTGTACACAGGATAACTTCGCCACCCCTATGGCTTAATCTGTCAGCCCTACTGGATAAAAAAATACTCATTATAGAACACTTTTGAGGATAACCATGTTTCTGAGACAGCAATAACACCCGATTTTTTTATCCACTATTGTCTTGAGCTCCGTCATTTGTGTAGCACACCCTTACCACGCATAATGGTTTGAGGATCGTATTGTTCCGAACTTTTAAAGTTTGAAATCCCTTAGAAACGAGGTTTTTTCACCGTTTCGGTGGCGCTCATTTTTTTCAACTTCTGCAGCTCGTTCCTAATACAATCAACTAGTCTGAGATCCTCACGGACGTATATTCCGGATCCAACTAGTTTGCGTGAGTTTCCTAGTACCATGTTTCTTTCTTCAACCGTAGCAAAGGTAAACTTCAAGAGGCGGCTTTTCTGAGTACTTTCAGAATCCACCTTTTGTCCTATTCTATAAAACTTATAGATGCTAACCCCTGTAACTGTTTCTGGAAATGGCTTACTTATTAAGAACTTAATATGACTGAGACCGTGCTCAAATCTAGCCCTTGGTTCCTTATTGGAAGATTCTCTTAACTTATGAAAAATGACTGGCCTCTCAGCGAGGTCCGTCCTGACACGTTGTGGAATTTAACTTTCTGAAATCATCTCAACCCTGAAGTCCAGTTTCAATTCATCGTCAAACTCAGAGGTTGCATTCCGTTTTCTTACTATTCTTTTCCTGAGTGCGACTACGGGCCACTCATTCACCATACTTTGTCACTTTATCAGATCCTCTACACTACTCAGACTTGGCTCCCCTATGGTTTGTATTACATTGATATGTAAACCCGGAACTGAACCCGCAGACTCACATGCCTTAGTGCTGTCTATAGGTAGTTTCTTCTCAGTGCGATTCTTCTTTTTCTTTGCGAAAAGGCCCACGTCCATATGCCTATCTGCTTCCCTGATGGAGCCCACCTTTCTGGTCTCATTTAAGTCTAGAGCTGAGGTAGTGATAACGCTCTCAATTTCCTCGAAAGCGGAATTCTGTTAATCTATTGCCGCTTGTTTATCAGAGGGCAATTTTCTAGCAATGTTTAGCAGCTCATCCGCCTCTAAAATCAACAGAGACTTTGTAGAACAACATTATTTGCACAACCGACGTGATAGTGGCTTGCAGCACCGTTTATCTGCAGCCGTTGTGAGTCCGGTGCACACTGTCTCCCCATAGCACTGGAGTATTTCATTCTCTTCTAGTCATTTGCTGTGCCTACGAACGCAAGCGTTTAGAGCATTCTAGAGACTTCTTAAATTTTTTCTCTTCGTATGATTTTCTAAACTTACCGGCGATAGAGGAGCAAGTATTTTGAGCTTCTCGATATTGAGATTTTGTCTCATCAGTACTCAGTAACCTAAATCTATCCCACATTCTTATCCACTACAGAGAAGAGTGCGAACCGCCCCACTGAACCATGATGGAAAGTTTCTCGGACTCATTGGTTTGGTCCAAGGAATGTGGGGCGTAATAACTTTAAAGTACGAATTTCGAAATACATCCCAAGCCGTGTTAATTGGGAACTCCGGCTCTACTGTCCAATTTACTGACAATGCTGAGGGTATGATGTCTTTTATATTTGCTTTCCAGACATAAAGTCTAGGTTGTGCCGGTGCGTGCTAGTTTTTGACAACTACATGAAGGTCAAACTTAGGACTGTATGATTGCTTTTATGTATAGGTGGCATGTAATCGAGTTTCGTAACATCATCCTCACTATGGGTCAATCTAAGATCTAGTTAGGATGATTCAGAGTTAGGGTCGTACCTAGTCGTCTCTTCCACATGGTGCACTAGGGAACATTTGTTTGAATTTTATCTGTGGCGGGAGGACGCTTCTTCGAAGGACACACAGCAACACAGATGATATAAGTTAGAACTCTATAATTAACGCGTCAGTTTCTGAATTCTGTATTCTAGAGAGTTGGTTTAGAAAAGAGTATTATTTCAGCGAAGAATGTGAGACCCGGTAACTTAACCTTTTTGGGACTCTTTTCAATTTTGGGCCACTTTGCTGTGATTTTGATGGAATTTCAAAAACATGCGTTTAAGATATGATCACCTATATGCTTCGTTTCA